ATCCAGATTGCATAAGAGAAGTGGGAGACTTGTTTATATATTTCCGAATTAAATGCTGCTGCTTTTTATTTATTATTATTTTTTTTTTTTTATTGATAATTGCATTGTAAATAAACTGAAGATGATGTATCTTTGAACTGCTACTTGTATGAGTCTGCAGCAGTATCTGCAGACTAATATATCCTACAGTATTCATCCCTCAGTTTGCAGCAAAACACAGACTGTTTATGGACTTTGGGCTTTATAGTCCTTGTTTTTACACAGGCGGCAAAAACGTCTTGATAAAGCCTAAAATGTTAAGTTGTTTAAGTAAACCTTTGAGGGGATAAGACAGTCACATCTCTCTCTAGATCTGTAACATTAATCCATGTTAAAAACCAGTACAGGCAGAGAGCAGCTTTGCCTCATTTTATTAGTTCAGGCTGGTTATTGATCCAGTAATTATACCAGTGCATCATATTTACATAAGAAAAAAGGAATATTTAATAACATTCATGAATATACAGTAATGCAATCATTATTTGTATTTTTTTTTTTGTTTTGTTTTAAAACGGGTCGCCGGCGACCCGTTTTATAGCGTTTACAACTAATAACTCAGAGCATGAAAATTACAACGGCAAAATTTTTACCAATAGACATGTTTATTTTATTGACTCAGCGGGCACCAAAGCACAATTAACACAGATATAGCAGCATGTCAAAATGTAAACATGAAAAAGCCGCCACAACAACATACCTTTGAAGGCATCTTGAAGCCGTTATATAAATCCAATTTTCAAATATTTATGTTCCATTGGTCCATAAGGTTCCACAGATTAAAAGTAATCCAGCATATTCATAATAAAAACCTTCCATATTAGGAAGGAGGAAAGGCATTTGGCACAATTTGGAGTGATTTGGGGACGCTGGTGACACCAAAAGTTCAAAGCCCCACAGCTCTGCAACTGTTGTAACTAGAGGTCAGAAATGTTCTGCATTTGTGGAAGACTTGATGTTGAACAAATGTAAAAAAATAAGAAGTGCTTTTTCTCAAGCTTGTCTTTATCACTGCTGTTCAAAAAAGACCTATTATTTTTGAAAATAAAAAAACTTTGAGTCATGTTTGAACTGATGCAGCTCGGGCTGTGTTTTACTCACCCGGTTTTGTTGTGTATATTATTACGCATGTAATTTGGGCTTACAGTTCCTAAGTTATTTACTTTTGCATTTGGGTGTGCAAAATAGGCAAGGATTACTTCAAAATGAGGTGGATGTGTTACTGCTACTCAGTACAGTTGAAACCAACAAAGCGCAAAACGCATGCAGCTGGAGGTGGGGCTTAAACCCACAGCTCCAGGCATCTGTTGGTCCATGGAAATTCAACAGGCTCTGTATTAAGTAGAGACTGAGCAGAGTAGAGTTATGCAGAGCTCAGATTATTGGTGGGAGAGCAGTGAAAGATATACAGTCCTAACAAATGAAGTTCTTTAAAAAGCAATCCCAGAAGATAGGAGTGTGCCGTGCTATGATTTTTTTTTTTTTTTTTCAGTAACTTATACTTATCACATTTCTAGATGTATTATTGTAATTCTATTCTTAATCTTGCACAGATGATATCTCAGAGTGGACTTTGTTCTAATCAATAACGGCATATTGTGTTCCAATAGAGAAAGCCTGGTTTAAACCTTTTCCTATGGCTAAGTTTCAGTTGGTCTGAACCTAAAATTACAGAACAATTTGACTTTGGGAAATTGAAAAGATAAAACATGTTATATTTGACAATGTAATGAATGCCAACAGTGGGAGCAAGGACCCTTTATGTTCTAAATGTTAGATTAGCATCTGGATTCAGTCTCGTCTGTGATTGTTCCTATACTTTTTCATCAGTGAGGTCAGACCTCAGTCGGCTGAAATTTAAATCACAGCGAGCGTCAGATGTCTGTTATTATCTCAGTCGAAGGGCGCTCGCATTACATCTTCAGCGGAGTCCTGACCCTGTCACCTTGCCATTCTAACAATACAGGCCCTTTGCTTGCTACTCAAATTACCCCCTCCCCCTTCGTCTCTAATGTTCGTTTGGTTCAAGACCTAAAATTACAGGCTGTTGAAAGATAATATTAGAGCACTGAGTTATGCAAGGGTGTGATGCTGCATCGTTACATAAGGGCTGAGCTGAAGTTCGCTTACTGAGATTTTTGGGACTTTCTTCATTTGACTCTCCCCTTCCTTATTCGTCCATGTGCCTCTTCCTCTTCGTGTTTTGCTGTTCATGCAACGAGCCTTTTTTTTTTAGGTTCAGAAACCCCATTTCAGTTTTTATAGTTCTTCTTGTTTCCCCCTGTAGCTAGCTTTAAAGCCTTTATTTTTTTCACTTAATGTAGGCCAGATTTCTTTCATCCACATCCCGTTTATCCGCCACTGAAACCCTTTATCCCGCTGTGTTCCATCTTGACTGTGTGTGTGTGTTGAGGAATGTGGCTATTGTACAATAATCAGCCTAAATCCCGGTCTCACAAAGACACTTAGAGACAAACGTTTCCACACCTGTCTTGTTTTTATGCCCTGTGGCAGGGCTACAGTGTACTGGAGCAAGATGTGCTTGTGTGTGAGTGAGTGCAGCTGCTTTTGGCCATCCATGCTGCCTCCTTGTTTTCAGCTTCATTTCCCCTCCTAATGAAGATTCAGAGGCAGTGCAGCTACTGGCGCAGGGCGAAAGAACCGAGCAGAGGAGGGTGGGACGAGGAAAGAGCAAAGAGCGAGGAAATGACAGCAGGAGGATAAGGGAGGGTTGGGTGGTGGTGGTGGGGGGGTAGGTAGGATCGTCATGAAGGGAAAGGAAGTGGGAGGATGGAAAGAAAACAAAGTGTGGGAGATGCAAAGAAACAGAAAAGAAGGATGAAATAGAGAGAACAGATACAACAGAAAGCAACAAAGGAAACACTGATGAGTTTTGCGATAAAGATGACTAGAAAGAAAGTTGCCCCCTCTCTTTCCCTGTCTCCTAATTAGCTCTCTGGCTGTGATGAATGGCGCAGCACTTAGGACCCAATCGGCAAGCCGACCTTGTCATGTGTGCTGATGGGGTGGGGTGACTCTCACCCTCGCCTCCTCTTTCCCCCTTTCTGTATTGTACCACCTCCTGTGGAAGCAGATGCTGCTAATATCTGGGCTTGTGCATCTATGCATATTCACTTACTTGCTGGGTTTTTTACTGCGCACTTACTGCTTGTACATCTGTGTGCGGTAAAACACAGCTTTGTTTTATTTGCAGTGATTTCTACACTGCATGCTTGGGTGTAGTGAAGTTGTCATTGTAATTAGCAATTCTCATACCTGCACATGTACATGCAACAAATATCAGTGAGTCCTGAGAGATCCCTGGTTCTCTTTCAGTGTTTCAGAAGCAAAGGTCTGCTTTGCTTCTGTAACAGGCCCAATGAGCTAGATAACATTACAATTTATACAATAAAATTACCTAATAAAGTTCTGTTCATTGAAAGGGGACATGTAGATTAAGTTGCATTTTCTATTTTGATGTGTTTAAAAAAAAGAATGTATTGCATTTTTTCCTTTCTACAATCTGGGTTCCTGAGCAAGACCCTTAACCCCTGATTGCTCACTGGGGGCCGCACAATGGCAGCTCAATGCTCCCCAGAGGGATGGGTTTAATGCAGATGTAAATTTCTCCAATGTGAGATCAATAAAGTTCAATTATTATTATTTTTATTTTTTCTGCTTATAAATTATTTGTCTTTAAGTTGTACCTGTGATATATTGTCATGCTATCAAGGCAGCTTGAGGCTCCATGAGCCACACAAGGTGTTCCTTTTTTCCACTTCAGCACCTGCCCCCAAATATCCATGCATCTAACTGTATTTTCAATATCAAAACTTTTCGATCCAACAAGACATCTAATGTTAATTTAAAAATAGGAACTTTCGTTGGTCATTTTTTCCAAAAAACTGTTGGAAATGAAACCCAAAGCTTAAAGGAATAGTACACCCAAAACATGATTAGCCTTCATTTTCTACTCACCCCCATGCTGAACAACACTCTGGAGTACTTTTTTGATATCTCAAATGCATCTGGAGATCTGGGAGGCTTCTTGCTGTCTGCTGACATTCAAATAATGGAGGTCTATGGCGCCCGAGGCAGAAAGGTCCATAAAAGTCCACAAAAAACGTGTCAATATTCCTCCATACTGCTCGTCCAATGTATTCCAAGTGTCCTGAGTGGGTAGCGTCCATAATTTACTCGAAACAAAGTCATTTAGAATGTTTTTAGAGCTAAAAAGCGCGTTCGCGAGTCTACGGAAACCGCGGCAGACCAAACCAGACGAAAGTGCGCATTCAGCTCGGCAAAGAACTCATGCTCTTCCTCAACACTGAAGTGCTCAGACATTTTTCTTTCGTTGTTTCTTTCTTTGCACAGGTAAACGGCACATTTCTTCTTCTACGCTTGCATTATTGGCAGAGCAGACGCTGAATGCGCACTTTCATCTGGTTTGGTCTGCCGCAGTTTCCGTAGACTCGTGAATGCGCTTTTAGGAAATCCTATACGCTACTGTTTATGCTCTAAAAACATTCTAAATGACTTTGTTTCATGTAAATTATGGACGCTACCCACTCAGGACACTTGGAATACATTGGACGAGCAGTATGGAGGAATATTGACACGTTTTTTGTGGACTTTTATGGACCTTTCTGCCTCGGGCGCCATAGACCTCCATTATTTGAATGTCAGCAGACAGCAAGAAGCCTCCCAGATCTCCAGATGCATTTGAGATATCAAAAAAGTACTCCAGAGTGTTGTTCAGCATGGGGGTGAGTAGAAAATGAAGGCTAATCATGTTTTGGGTGTACTATTCCTTTAAAACAGGGATTGATCAAATTGAAATATGAAAAATTGTACTTAAAAGTTGTCCCCTAAGGTAAAGTAGAAATTCTGCTTTGGATGAATGACTCATGACGAAGCCAATCAGTGTGGCATCACCCTGACGTTGTGACTACTCTCCCCTGCAGAGCACTAAGAACTGGCGGGCTGCCGTGGATCTGACAGGCCGGTTGCTGACAGCTCACGGTCAGGGATATGGAAAGGCAGGCCAAGCAACCTCCCACACCACTGACTCACTGCAGGTAGGAACTTCTCTCTTCATTCATCCATTCCTATGTGTTTGTACCAATCGATCTTTGTATTTTTGTCGGAGCAGAGATGACTTTAAGCCAAGAAAAGATCTTGTTTTCATTGAAATTAATCATTAGCAGCACATAAAAAGGATTTAGAATTAGGTTTGAATATTGTCATGTTAGATTTGTCCTTCTGAAAATCTGTAAATGTCGAACTGCATTTAGCACATATTCTGTTTACAGTAGCAGCCATTCAAAATGGCCCTTCCCAGTCAAAAGCCAGCCGAATGGCAGCAAAATCCCCTCCAACTTGCAGCCACTGGCCTTCTCATGGGCGTGCATATGTTTTTACTCTGACTCCACGCTTTCACTGAATTACAGGGTCTGACCAGGATATGACACTTCTCTTTAGATCTTAATGTCCACAAATCATGACAAAAAGAATATTTTAGATGTTTAAAAACGAATTGTAGGGTACCAGCCAAGGGCCCATCAAGGGAAGTTGGGAAATTTTGAATGGCTACTACTGTAAATGGAATTTTACTGAAATGAAGCTCTCAGCCTTTCTGAGGTCATAATGCAAGTCTGCTATGCATTTTACCTTGCAATCAAGATCAATTGTTGCAATATTGGTAAATTCACAAACTCCTAAAATACATCTGGCCAGAAACCAACAGATGCATTAGCCTAGAACACAAATGTTTCGAATCAGGAAAATGCAGTGATGTGTATAACGGCAACCAGAAGCTTGAAGAATTGCTCTGAATGTCCTCCCTTTTTGTAAACACTTTCTACAGGCGGTGGGTGCTTGTAGAATTCAAATTGAATGACACAGATCGATCAGGCTTATGCCTCTTGCTCTATGCTCTTTTTATACTTTATTGGGATACTTTGGGATACAGTTCTTAAAGTCGTAGGGAAACGGCTGTTCCAATGGTTGCAGTTCTGAATTCTCCCTCGAGGTGCCCAACTTTACACGAGCGAATAAAGTGAATGTGATTGGTCGATTGTCAAGAGGGCGGGATTGTTGTGGCGGAAGGTTCGCAGGCAAGTTTGGTTGTGGCCGGTGTCTCGGAAGCCTCTTGCTAACCAGTTAGCAACTTACTGCTAGTAGGTTCCCAATGGGAAATTTCATTGGACCCAAATAGCACTTAGCAACGACACTGTCAGCTGTACATGTTTTAGCCCTTGCCTCGCAACGATGCCAGTTCTGTTAGCTCTACAGTACGCCTGCCGAAGACACAGATGTCCATCCCCGTGAACACTGGGATGTAACTCAATGGTACAGTAAATTATTCTTATTTTTTATTTCAACCGTTGCGTATATTAGTTGCGACATATGAATCAAGATGCTATGACTGAAAAAAATTGATTGACAGATGTCCGTTGATATATGATTGCCCGAATTTAGGCGTACAAGCTGACATATAAATAACTGGCCTGCATAAAATAATGGAAAAAAACCGACCGATTTTAAGACAGGATTTTGTTTTAAATAAAAAATTTCTTAACTTTTGGGACAATACGGTCTGATAAAGGGTACATTTATATACATGTTTAAGCCAGAATTATTTAAAATTTAAATATGACTTCCCTACAACTTTTAAGCTCCAAATGTTTTGATATCTCTGTGCTTTTATTTAAATATATATATTGTCTTAGATTTTTGTTTCACAAACTGCAACTTAATTATCTAAAGGGATTAATGCTTCTTTAGCACAAATTAATAATGCAGCATGGCAGCGCCGGAAGACATTTAAGCAGTGCTGCACTGTTTATTGTAATTTTTATTGAAATATTCTTATTTGGTCAAATCTTATTGGACAGATATCTTATTTATTGTAAACTTGTAAAGAGGCTGGAAATTCTGAATGACCCTTAAGCAAAATAGAATGAAATCCCAACAATTTAAAATTGATTTGCTCTAAGAATTTTAATATTTGACTATGCTTTTGAAAATGAGGTAGATTCAACCTCCTGTCCCCTCCACTATGTATGTCGGGTGGTGGTTAGGGCTGGGCGATAAACCGGATTTTTACCGTTGCCGTCATTCACTACGATAACCGACGACAATTTTCCCATGTCAGTAAAAGAAATAAACTTAATTCTGCTGTTTTGCCTGTTTGTGCTGGTGGTTTGTATTTCCAGAATAGTGGAATCAGCCCAGTGAAGAAGCGTCTAACACAGCTGAAAAATTAAATTACATCAGTTAATGTGGAGCTGAGCATGCGCAGAGATGAAGCTTAGCGCGCGGAGAAGAAGTCAAGAGCGCGTTGTCAGAGTAGAGCCCGTGGCAGACCGATTTTAAGCAAGTTTGTGCAAGTTTAAACGATGCACATTGTTCCACTGCACGCTCAGTTCGGTGACACCAAAATTACACCACGACCAATCTGTCGTATTTACCCAAAGTAACACATCCAACCTTCAACTACAGCACAATCATGCTGATGAGTTCAAAGACGTGCAAAAGGCTCAATTACCTTTGCGCAAAAATGTTTGCAGGAGAGTTAAAATTTTTCTCCTGTTCACTAAGACATTGTTGAATGTTTAAACCTGAATGGGCACAAGAATTTAATATTTAATTAAAAGTAATATGTGAAGTGATTTATAAATAGATCAGTTGCATTTCCTGCACATATCTTTATTTCTGATAGAGGAGTTGGAGCATTTATCGTTCATTTATCCTTATCGAGGTAAAACTGGCCAATTTATTGTGATATTAATTTGAGGTCATATTGCCCAGCCCTAGTTGTGGTTTGCATTTAAAAGAAGAAAGAGAGACTCGTGTTTCTTCAACAAGAAATTTCTAAATGTGTGACTTTCTGATCAGCTGTTCCCAGACGGTCATTTGGAAAAGGCAGATTGTGTTTGTCATTCCTGTCTGCTTTTCCTTATTCCTGTAATCCTGTGTTTTGCATTCGGATGTCAGGGGGTTAGAAAACAAAAAAAAAAGCATCCTCCCCTTTCGCTGATCAGTGTATCGGATTAAGCCCGGTCTGCAACCACAAAACCTTAGTGGAGAAAGATAAATTATGGCTCTGTGAAGCAATCTTTGAGGCTTGTGCCAATATTTGTCAGTCTGGTGAGATGGTAGTGAGGCACTGGAGCAGGCTTCTAGTGTGTCTTCTAGACAAAGGGGAGGCTGAGGTCTTCTGCCATCCTGGAAGGATTGTTAATACTTCTTATCACAGTGGAATTCAAGGTCATAATAAGAGTCAAGGGCCCTACTGAGGGTGACTTTAAACCTTGTCCCATCCTTTCCCTGGTGTCTCAATCATTTGAGAGAGTTAGCTAGATAATCCAAATAAAAACTGACTGATAAATCCCCAAAGGCTCATTAATTTTTTCAGTCAAAGGCCGTTTCTCAATATGTGTACTTGTGCGTTCTCATGTGCTTGTGTACTCGAAAAGCGTCATCAGCCTCAGCTCTTGCACTATTCCAATTCATAAGAACAAAAAGACAGAGAATGGACAAAGTCCCCGGATGTTTCTCTCGCCCCTCCCACTTTACAGAGTATAAATCAGAAAAGAC